ACGTGCTTGCTTCTTCCCGCCTTCCGAGGAGCTGCCCCTCTCTCCCAACTGTGTTGTCTCACCAATGATTCTCTCCCACACCCCCCCCGCCTCCCCGTTACCACCCCAGGCTCTAATCCTCCAAGCCAATCCTAAGAGCCCCATCTGCCCACCGTTTTTTCACTGCCCTCACTTTATCCCACATCCCCTCCTCCCCTGTCCCACATCCCCCTTTCCTAAACCCGCCACCACAACAGGCTAAAACCCTTCCATCTACATCCCCCATTCCCGTCCTTTCTCCTCACCCGCAAGGAGCTGCCACCCTCTGCCCACTCTATTGTCTCAACCATCATACTATCCCAAATCCCTTCTTCCTTCCACATCCCCCTCTCCTCCTCGTCACCACCCTAGGCTCATTCCTTCTACCGACACTCTAATCCCCTCCTATCCTAAGCCCTCAAAAGGAGCTGCACCACTCAGCCCACCGTTTTTTCACTGCCCTCACTCTCTCCACATCCCCCTCCTCACTCCTCCCACATCCCCCTCTCCTCCTCACCACCATCCCAGGCTCTAATCCTCTGAGCCAATCACCAGAGCCCCTATTTCAACCTGCCATGCAAGGAGCTGCCCAACTCTGTTGGCCGTGCGCACGTTCTTAAAACTTCCAATGATTGTCATTTTCATTTTCTTCCCTTTGACCCCCGACAGGTGTCCAGTTCAGGGAGTGCGAGAGGGAGCTAGTACTGTTTCTGCACACCATGGACAACAACCACGGGGCACTGAGTTCTACAAGTCGTTGACTGTGATGCTGCAGTCAACGGACTATGCGGGTGCATACCCGAACATGGTGTGTTTGTGGCAGGCAGTGGCAGTGCTCCGGTTGGACACTCTTTAGTGCGAGCGTGGTTTCAGCCGACAGAACCGCATCAAGAGCTGGACACGTAGCAGTTTGAGAGATGCACGACTGCGCGATTGATGACCTGTGCACTTCTTTTATCGACATGTGTGAACTGGATGAACGCAGTGGTGCTCTTTCGTATCGTATAGTTCCGGCTAGAAGACCCGGGGGACTCTCTACAAATGCTTAAAAATATGCTTGGGTGGACATTATGGCGGTTGCAATTTTTTAAGACCCGGGGTACACTTATTTATCATATATCAATTTGTCATTTAGGGTGTACAGCTCAATTTGGGGCAGGGGGGGTCTTATATTCGTAACGAAAAACCGCCTTCGCGTGCAAATTTCGCGCGAGCGGCGCGTCAGATTTCTGTCAGAATTCGAGTCTGACACAATCAAAGTGTCAGAATTCGAGTTTGACACAAAATGAATGTCAGAATTCGAAAATTTGCCAGTAAAAACTGACTCACAATTGCAATAACAACTACTTTATACATAAAAGGGGGGTCTTATGATGATTAGAGGCCAAGGGGGGGTCCTCACAATATCTGCCACAATAAGAGTCCCCCTACCCGTTCAAGAGTCCCGGGGGACCTTCTTACCGGCGGGTCTTCTAGCCGGAACTATACGGTAGTCTCAAGAAGCGCCACCCGGCTGGCGATTTTGTTGATGATGTTTTGTAGGCGTGCATGGTAGATTGTGAGTACCGTCATACCCCGGATATAAGCGCCACCCGCGTATAAGCGCCTGGCGCTTTTAATTGGCGTGTGGCGCTTATATCCGGTGCTCGATTATAAGCGCATACCTAAAAGGCTTACAGATTATAACCGCATACCTATACCGACCACATTATAACCGCCACCCTGTTTTTTTTGTTGTTTTTTTAATTTGAAGACATTTTATACATTTTATCCACTAGCATATCATGTTAGTTAATCTACAACTAGTTTATCTACTTCTAGTTAATCTAATTCTACCTACGAGCTTCACACAGGCTTCACCATTTTCTAGAATTCTACCCTACTCTAATCATCAGCTACAGTGGGGTCATCTGGGTCGGCCTCAGAGTCCGACCCAGGTTCCTCTACGTTGTTGCAGAAGAAACCGTCAGCTGCAATTTCATCATCCATGTCAACCTCCTCGCCCTCGAGCTCGTCTCGCCTGTGTTGCAGGCAGAGCTTGTCCTGGGACCCATCCAGGGCGTTGCTGATGCCGCAGGTGAGGAACGCTCGTTGAATGAGCTCCTTGGGCACGGACTTCCAGGCCGTCGAGATCCACTTGAGCGTCAGCTCGACAGGAGGCTTCTTGATGTTGCCTGCCACGCAAATCCACAAACCGGGTCAGCACGGGTTAAAGAAATAAAAACGTTATCAGTGCTGCACCTCTCACCTTTCTTCGTCAAGGTGTCGACCCCCTCACGCTCAAACCACTCCTGGTAGAGCTGGCGAACGGCGGCCTTGAAAAAGCGGTTAACCGCGACATCGAGGGGTTGAATCTCCGAGGTGCAGCCAGCAGGGATAACCGCAGGGACCAGGTTGAGCTCGCCAAACTTCTTCACCTCCGGGGTCAGGTGCCCGCGGTACGAATCGAGGACGAGCAGAGCCTTGCAGGGACGGACTCCGAACTTGGGGTTGATGTACGGCTTCACCGCCCCGTCCAGCCACTCGATGACCCCGTCCGCGTCCATCCAACCGTTGGGATGGACCCCCACGTGGATATCTGCACAACATAAAAACCACGATGTTAGTTACCGTACGTTTAACACCTGACATGAATATGCCACCGCGTAATCGACGTGTGCTTCATACCTGAAGGAAAATCTCCTTTGGGGACGGTCTTCCTTTTGAAGAAGACCCACGGCTTCAACTTCTCCCCGCTGGCGGTGCAGGCGAGCATCACGGTAACCCGCTCTTTCTGGTAGCCGCCGCTGCGGACGGGCACGGAGCGCGAGCCAACCTCTTCAACGGTGCGTTCGGATGGCATCTCAAGCCAGAGGGGCGTCTGGTCCGCGTTTATGATCCACGGCAGGTCGATCTTGTACTAGCGGCGGGAGTTACGCACATACGTCCAGAAGTTCTTGACATCAGTCTCGCAGTCTGGGACACGGGATGGGAGGAACAGAAAGCACAAACACAGAGTGAGAGCCGTGAATAGATGGGAACAGACAAACAACAATACCACCAAATAACAACTCACTAGACGAGAGCTTCTGGCCGACCCGGGTCTTCGCTCTGGTCGTCAGGTTCCAGCGGCGGCGAAAGCGCTGAGTCCACCGCTGAGAGCCGGCCCACTTTTCACCTGCGTGTAACTCTTTCATCACCTCGTGCGACCACTTCTGCAGTCGTGCGATCGAGACGGCGAGGCACTTCTTGCGGTGGGCGAGAAACCTCCGGTACACCTCCGCTTCCATGTCGCGATACCACGAGCTCCTTCCGCGGCCGTGCAGGCGACAGCGTGCACCGTGCGCGCCCTCAAGCTCAGCCTTCCGGCTCTTCCACTCCGTGAGACACCTTCGGGAGATGCCGGATTCGCGAGACATTCGCCGCACACTCATCTCTCCGTTTTCGAGCTTCAGAATCCATTGCAGCTTCTCATGCGAGGTGTAGGAATTGCGCCTGTGCTTTGTTGGCTTGTGCCTGGGGGAGGGAGGACGGGCATCACGATTATCGCGAGATGGGTGGGGCCTTTTTTTATTCAGAGGGGGGAAGGAGGGAATTGGAAGGTGCTCGGGGAGACCGTCAGCAGCCCAGAACTCCACGTCGTCGTCTGCACCGGTTGCGGATTCGTCCAACGGGCAAGCAGCCGGCGCTCCCCACCGTTGCTCCGGTGCGGAGGAAGATCCTTCGCCGCCGCTGCGTTCAGGCTCGGACAGGAAGGCGTCGAACGCCGAGTAGCCAGGCGGGAGGAGAAGCTGCAGAACCCCCTGTCCCGGAACACAAACAGTAGGCGGGACAGGAGGGGCCGGAGGAACGGGAGGAATAGGAGGCGCCGGGGGAGCGGGAGGGGTAGGAGGCGTAGGAGGAGTGGGAGGAACGGGAGGCACTACTGGTTGTGATGGAGGGACGGGCGCAGGGCGCGACTGCCATTGAGAGTAGTCACGGGTGTCTCTGCAGGTACTTTCTCTAGCAGCAGGTCGGCGGCGGAACAAGAAATGCGTGCCTGGAAGGTCCGCCATGGCCACGGCAGGCCAAGCGAACAAAGAAAACTGAATCAAAAGCTGAGAATGAGGGCCGTATGAAGCCCTCGCCCGAGACCCCTTCAGTTTTGCGGCCCGACTTCCTCTGCGGGGAAAGTCCAGCCATAGTCAAGATTCCACGCAGAGGAGCTGAGCTGGGAAGCTCTTTGCCTTAGTGGCAGGGAATCTTGATGTTGATGGGCACGTCGTGGCTGAACCACGACGTGCCCACGATCGCATGCAACCATGATTGGGCCGCTGTGATGCGAAGTACGTGTGCGCTGGCATGGGCCAGGTTCACGTTCGATGAACCTGGCTTGACCAACAAGGCGTGGAAGGCGTCATGCCACGCCTTGTTGGCCGTTTCACGCGCAAAGCATGCACAATTTCGAACGTTCTCGACTCAGGTGAATTCGCCTTTGAGAATGCTTCGATTTGATATATTTAAAAACAAATTTCATTTTTGACATAACATAAACGCCGGCGCTTATAATTTTACTATATTATAAGCCCACCCCCTAAAAAAAACATGTTTTATTAGTGCCCCCCATGGGGGTTTATTTGGGGTATGACGGTAGTTGAAATTGAAAAACTTAAAAAAAACAAGATTTCCTAGAAAAAAAGGGACTTCTTCACATTACACTGATGAGTAGAAATAAACTCAACCAAAACCCTTACCAGAAAGAGTGAATTTCGTGCCTCACACTGATAGAAAAAGTACGGTACCTGGGAGGCGGTGGCCTTACGTGAAAGCGTACATAGAATCCTAACCAGAGCACTGGACCACCTCCCAAACCCTTTAGTATCCTTCTTGTTGAGAAACCCTTTATTGAAAAGCTCTTTTGTTCCTAGCATGGTTCATGTGCAAGTTGGCTCTTAAGATTTGTCGGCTCCAGGACCAGGTTCTAAGATGAATAGTATCTTGACCCATTCTACGGTAACAGAAGGTCAGCCTTGATGGTTGAGAGCAGCGATGACGTGGCGTGTGGAGGGCAGCACGTGGGCCACGAGCGGCAGGTGGGAGGGCGCAGCGAGCACGGTGGCGGGCGCGTACAGCCACGGCGCCACCGACGCGTTGAAGGCTGCGAAGTGCGGCACGAGGATGGCCTCCCAGTCCACCTGCAGAGGAAGGGGAAGAGGGGGGAGGGGAGGGCGGAGAGTGGGGAGGCGGAGAGAGCAGCAAGAGGGATCAGCTATTGCTGGCAGCTGTGGCAACCATGAAGTGAAGGGAGGAACGTAAACAGCAGCACCAAATAACTGAAATTCGAAGCGAGGTGTGCAGAGTGGAGGAGCAGAGCAGGGACCTGCATGGCATGCGGGATGGGGGCGGTGGTGAGCATGCCGGCGGCCATGGAGAGGCCGAGCACGGCGATGAGCCCCACCATGGCACTGCCGCGCGTCAGCGGCATCAACTGGTACCTGCTCCGCCCACGGGCCGAGCGCCGCGACAGGGGGGGCAGGCGAGAGGGGAGATAGGGGAGGAGAGACAGGTAGGGCAGGAGATGTAGGGGAGAGGAGATATGAAGCACGGGAAAAGACAGACGAGTGTGGCAGAGTTGAAATGTAGATTCTCAATACTCAGTGCATCTTCCCAACTGCCCGCCTCTCCTGCACCGCCCCCCAACACACCCCCCACTGCCTTCCAACCCTCATCCTGGTGAGCGCACACCACTGCAAGGCAATTACCAATAGTATCCAATTCGCAGAATATTTTCCTGAATGCGTTGGCGATAGCGGGCGGCATCAGCTGTCTCCAGGGCACGGTCCAACACGGCGGCACAAAGATCCTGCCACTCCCGATGACAAGGCAGAGATGGGTGAGGATTCAGAGGTGGGTGAGGATTCAGAGGTGGGTGAGGATTCAGAGGTGGGCGAGGATTGAGAGGTGGGTGAGAGGGAAAGTGAGAAATACATGCAAATGCACACGCGGCAGCAGCATCAGTGTGTATGCGGCACTCCTTGTCAGCCCTCACCTGCCTCCCTCTTTGTTGACCACACACCCACCCCCCTCACCCACCCCCCTCACCCACCCCCCTCACCCACCCCCCTCACCCACCCCCCTCACCCACCCCCCTCACCCACCCCCCTCACCCACCCCCCTCACCCACCACCCTCACCAACGCCCCGCACCCACCCCCCTCACCCACTCCCCGCACCCACCCCCCTCCCCCACCCCCCGCACGCACCCCCTTCCCCCACCCCCCTCACCCACCCCTCTCACCCACCCCCAATCACTCACCCGCCACGCGGCAGTGAGCTCGGCGTCAAACTGCTTCCAGCGCGGCGGCGTGACGGGCGTGCGGATGGCAAAGTCAAACCCCGCCCCACTGCCATGCATGCACGGGCAGGGGCGCAGCGGGGCAGCCAGTAGGGGAATGGGTAGGCGAGGGCAGCATGGTGGTGAGGCATTGCAGACGCAGCTGAACGAGTGCAGCACACCAGGGGAGAGGGATGCGGATGAGTGAGAGTGGTGGGTCAGTGGAGTGGAGAGGATGAGTGAAGAGGAATGAAGGGAGAGGAATGAGTGGGGAGGAATGAAGGGAGAGGAATGAGTGGGGAGGAATGAAGGGAGAGAAATGAGTGGGGAGGAATGAAGGGAGAGGAATGAGTGGGGAGGAATGAAGGGAGAGGAATGAGTGGGGAGGAATGAAGGGAGAGGAATGAGTGGGGAGGAATGAAGGGAGAGGAATGAGTGGGGAGGAATGAAGGGAGAGGAATGAGTGGGGAGGAGAGGCGGAGGGCATTGGGCAGCACTCACGACTGGACGACGGTGAGCTGCGTGCCGTTGAGCACCACGCTGGTGCCGCCACATGCAAGGGCGGTGGGGCAGACAGGGGGGGCAGGAGGAGACAGGTGAGTGGCAGGTTAGACACATGAGAGGGAAAAACACATGACACATGAGAGGGATAAACACATGAGAGGGATAAACACATGAGAGGGATAAACACATGAGAGGGGTAAACACATGAGAGGGATAAACACATGAGAGGGATCAACACATGAGAGGGATAAACACATGAGAGGGATAAACACATGAGAGGGATCAACACATGAGAGGGATAAACACATGACATGGATAAACACATGAGAGGGATAAACCCATGAGAGGGATAAACACATGAGAGGGATCAACACATGAGAGGGATAAGCACATGAGAGGGATAAACACATGAGAGGGATAAACACATGAGAGGGATCACCACATGAGAGGGATCAGCACATGAGAAGGATAAACACATGAGAAGGATAAACACATGAGAGGGATAAACACATGAGAGGGATTAACACATGAGAGGGATCAACACATGAGAGGGATAAACACATGACATGGATAAACACATAAGAGGGATAAACCCATGAGAGGGATAAACACATGAGAGGTGTCAACGGGAGTTGTGTGTTGGCCCCGTCCTCGCTTGGGCGGAGCCGACATCGTGGTCGGGTGTGAGGGGAACAGCCGACCTACAGCAGTGGGCGAGCTGGTTGACGAGGAGGTCGACCTGCACGGGGACCACTGCACGGGCGCCGAATTCAGGGTGGCGCTGACTTCGGGGAGGTCGACTTGGGAGTCGACCTGCGGAGGACGTCAATTAGGGATGAGCAAGGTGGCGAACACCTGTTCGGTTCGCCTCGAACGTGTTCGAGGCGAACCGAACAGGTTTTGTTTTTTAGCTCAAATCGTTCGCCGAACAGTGTTCGATGTTCACCCGAACACGTTCGTGTTCGGGCCGCTGCTGAAATTTGCCCGCGACGAACACGAACAGTGTTCGAGGTTCGCCCGAACACGCCTTCACAGGCGAACGGCGAACACCATTTTTTGCTCAAAGTGTTCGCCGAACCGAACAGTGTTCGGTTCGGCAAAAGAGGGTGTTCGACAAGGGGCGAAGACGAACATGTTCGTGTTCGCCCTTTGCTCATCCCTAACGTCAATTTGGTGACGTCAACTTGGGGAAACCGACTTCGGTGGTCGGCTGATGGACCGCTGGTCGACCTGCGGGTGGTCGACTGGACCTGGTGGACGACGAAGGAGGGGCCAACGTCGACCCCGACTCAGGACGCCGAGAAGTTGGGCATCGAGTAGCGGGGCGTCAACTTCGTGACGCCAACTTCGGGTGGCCGACGTGGGTAGTCGGCCGACGACTGTGCTGGTCGACGAGGAGCAGGTCGACCAGAAGGGACATCGACCTGGAGCTGGTCGACCAGGGGCGTGGTCGACCTGGTGAGGTCGACGTGGAGGTGGTCGTCGACTTGGGAGGTCGACGGGCACGTACGGGAGTTGCTGGTCGACGTGGTTGCTCGGTCGACCAGGTTACCTGGGTGACGAAGTACTGCGGAGGAGTGCGACGGTCGCCCAGGCGAAGTTGGCGAGCCCGACCTCGGCGGTGGTATCCCGAGGTCGTCGTGGCGGATCAGAGGCAGTCGTCAGCTCGAGGTTGACGTGGTGTGTGCGCTGTGCAGGTGACGAGACTCTGCACGCCAATCATCTGCGCGCACCTGCGAAGCGGGTGCACTACTGTTCTGCGCAAGCAACGCTGGCTCGCCGTCAACCTGCGACGTTGGCACGCCGTCGACCTTGCCTTGTTGGAGCACGGTCGACCAAGCAGTGCTGGAACGCAGTCGACCAAGCTGCGCTGGCAGTTGGCCGACCTGAATGCTCACTCTGATGTAGTCTTGCTATGCCAACTTCATTGAATCATTGTTCTGAACTTTTCGTAGTGGAACTCTTGCCAATTTTCCCCGTGAACTAGCGAGTAGTGTGTGCAGAAGGAAAACGACTAAGGACTAAGGAACGCAGAGATCACACGAGCACACGTGCCTAACCCGTAGTCTAGCTCCCGTTGCTGCAGTTATCTCCGCAAGAGGGATCAACACATGAGAGGGATACGCACATGAGAGGGGTAAACACATGAGAGGGATAAACACATGAGAGGGATAAACACATGAGAGGGATCAACACATGAGAGGGATCAACACATGAGATGGATGAACACATGAGAGGGATAAGCATATGAGAGGGGTAAACACATGAGAGGGGTAAACACATGAGAGGGATAAACACATGAGAGGGATAAAGCCATGAGAGGGATAAACACATGAGAGGGATAAACACATGAGAGGGATTAGCACATGAGAGGGATAAACACATGAGAGGGGTAAACACCTGAGAGGGATAAACACATGAGAGGGGTACACACATGAGAGGGATAAACACATGAGGGGGATAAACACATGATGAGAGGGATAAACACATGAGAGGGATAAACCCACGAGAGGGATAAACTCATGAAAGGGATAAACACATGAAAGGGATCAACACATGAGAGGGATAAACCCATGTGAGGGATAAACCCATGAAAGCGATAAACACATGAGAGGGATAAACACATGAGAGGGATATACACATGAGAGGGATAAACACATGAGATAGATAAACACCTGAGAGGGATAAAGCCATGAGAGGGATAAACACATAAGAGGGATAAACACATGAGAGGGGTAAACACCTGAGAGGGATAAACACATGAGAGGGGTACACACATGAGAGGGATAAACACATGAGAGGGATAAACACATGATGAGAGGGATAAACACATGAGAGGGATAAGCCCATGGGAGGGATAAACACATGAGAGGGATAAACACATGAGAGGGATAAACACATGAGAGGGATAAACACCTGAGAGGGATCAAGAGAGGGATAAGCCCATGAGAGGGATAAACACATGAGAGGGATAAACACATTAGAGGGATAAACACACGAGAGGGATAAACACATGAGAGGGATAAACACATAATGAGAGGGAAAAACACATGAGAGGGATAAATACATGAGAGGGGTAAACACCTGAGAGGGATAAAAACATGAGAGGGGTACACACATGAGAGGGATAAACACATGAGAGGGATAAACACATGATGAGAGAGATAAACACATGAGAGGGATAAACCCATGAGAGGGATAAACTCATGAAAGGGATAAACACATGAGAGGGATAAACCCATGTGAGGGATAAACCCATGAAAGCGATAAACACATGAGAGGGATAAACACATGAGAGGGATAAATGTTGGTGTTAGGCCCCAATCTCACATTTTGTACTTGTACTTTTATATCCTAGTTTAGTGTAGTTTGCACTTTGTGTTTGGTTGGGTGTACACCCACATCCCAACCAAACCCAAATGTAATCTCCAAGCAATCTCCAACCCACCAATTGGAGATTGCCTTGGGATTACCCTTGATTCCCTAGGATTGCCTCCTGATTCCCTCCTCATCCCTACCTTGCTCATTCCGGATGTACTTAAAGAGCTTTGAGCTCACTACTATAGTATCGATTCTAAGCTCAAGTTCTGACATGGTATCAGAGCAGCTCAACCGCATACGCGGATCGTGATCCTCTCATCTCTGCGGATACTTGTCCCGCAAACCTCGGGGAAGCCATCGCCAATCTCGTCGCCGTTGATTCGCGACATTCATCGGCGGAATTTCTCCCGCCAAATCTTCCCGTCACCATCGACGGAAACTTCTCTGGTAAGCGCATCGTCGGCGCTCTAACCTAACACTCGTTTTCATCAATTCGTCACTTCTTCTCCTCGACGGGCTGCCGCCCGTCGCCCTGCAGCTTCTCGTCGGGCCGCCGCCCGTCGCCCCGCAGCGTCATCTTCGGGCTGCCGCCCGTCGCCCCGCATCTGCACTCCTACCCCCATCCCCCCTCTTTCCCGCAGCTGAACAGGTGCAGCAACGCAGCCGAGCAGCAGCGTAGCCGCGAAGCTGAGGGTGGTGTGTGGGGGGGTGTGTGGGAATAGGACTAGTAGGTAGTTGACACTAAATTGGCGTCTCAGTCAAATTCTCCTTCGTAAACCCTAAACCTCCGGTTCTTCAAAATCTCCTTTGGAAACCCCAAACCTCAAGTTCCTATTGGTGACTTAAGAGCGGCGCTCCGCGCGAGAAGTTAAGGGGTCTCCACCATGGCTTTCTCGTCTTCCACCATGGCGAACCCCATCACCCCGCTCCGCCTTGAAGCCGATGGCTCTAGCTCCAACTTCAAGGCGTGGAGCTACGGAGTTGACAAGCACCTCCTGAGCCGTGACGTGCAGGGCCTTGACCTCAAGGACGTCCTCCTCAACCGTGGCAAGGGGAAACAGCCCACTCTTCCCCGTGAACCGACCGAATCTTCAAGTGATGCTGACGTGATGACGTACGAAGAAGCTGTTGAGAAGTACCGGAAGTGGGAGAAGGCCGATGCTGCCATCATCAGCGTCTTCATTGCCTCCACCCCTCCCGAACTTGTCAACACGTTCCACAACTACCCTACCTCCAACGCCATCTGGAAGTATCTCCAGGATCGGTTCATGAACAAGACGGCGGTCGGAGTGGCGATTCTCATCCCCAGCATGTTTCAAGTCCGCCTTGAGGACTGCTCAGGAATGGCTGATTACATCGCCAAGGTGCAGACCATTCATGGTGAACTCAAGGAGCTGGGTATAGTCTTCCCCGAACAAGCCCCTGCAGCCGCCCTTCTTGTTGGTCTCTCCTCGGCATATGAAGTGACGAGGAAGATGCTCCTCACGCTCTCAGCGGAAGACCTCACCTTTGCTAAGGTCTCCACCGCACTCCTCTCTGCCGAGAAAGACTCCACTGCTCAGGCCAAGGCATACGCCATCCGTGCTCCCATGCCCCTAGCAAGTGTTGCAGCAGCCCTTGCCTCGGCGCCTTTCCAGCGCAACCGCTTTCCTCCGTGCACCTACGTCGTCAAGTATGGCAACCGCAAGGGACAAGTGTGTGGTGGCACTAACCACCCCCTTGCCACGTGCTTCAAGAAGAAAGACGACGAGTGGTATGCCATCCACGGGGTTGACAAGAAGCCGCCAAACTGGATGCGCGCTCGTAAGGCCAATCTCGTTGAGGTCCAGGACCCCTCTTCGGCTAGTGCTAGTGACAGTGCTCCTGTTGATGTGCGTATCAACCTGTTGTTTCCTGGCACTGCCATGATTAATGAAGCCACTTCCCAGTACATCGACTCATCACAGGCACCACAGTACATAGAGTTCACACTCGACAGTGGGGCCACTCACACTGTGCTCAAGGAGACACTCTCCTTCAAACCCTATCCAGCACCTATCCCTCTCTTGGGAGCTGACTCCAGCTTCACCACCCTAGCCAAGGGCACCTCCACAGTCCCATGCCCAGCCTTCCCTTCCGGCACCGTCACTGGCATGTGCGTGCCTTCACTACGCCACAATCTAGTGGCTCAAACAGAAATTCAGAAAGCAGGGCTACGCACCATCTTCTCGGAGAATGAGGACCACTGCGACATCATTGACCCACTCACCAACAAGGTCTTGGCCCGCTTCACCCTCAATAGCAGCGGCCTCTACACGCTACGCGTTCCTCTCCCACAGGTTTCAACCACCCAAGCACAGGCTCCCATCACACCATGCACATGTCGCAGCCTCTCCAACCCGACCATCCTCTATCATCATCGGTTAGGGCACCCAAACTTCCGCACGCTTGCTGACATGGCCTCCAAGAAACTTCTTCTCGGCCTGCCAGCCACACTTCCTCCACCACCTGACTCACCCGCTCCCACGTGCCTTGATTGCACCAAGAGCAAACTGCGCCAACAGCCCCACACTGCCTCACCCACAATCGCAGCGGCACCACTGGACCTAGTGCACATGGACGTCTGGGGCCCTGCCCCTGTTCTTGCACGAGGTGGATATCGCTACTTCCTAGTTATCGTGGATGACCACTCACGATACGTCTCTGTTCACCTCCTCCACACTAAGGCTGAGGCTCCAGAGGTCATCATGGCGTGGGTCAAGCAGGCACAGACCACCTTTGACCTCAAGGTCAAGCGCCTTCACTCGGATGGGGGGGGTGAATTTTGCAACGACAAGCTTAAAGCCTTCTGCTCCTCCGAAGGCATCCAGCAAAACTTCACCCTCCCTGACAGCCCTCAACAGAACGGCATAGCTGAGAGCCGCAACCACACTCTAGTGCAGATCACTCGGTGCCTCCTCAGCCACTCCAACGCTCCACACTCTCTCTGGGGATACGCTCTCTACCACGCCGCCCTCCTCTACAACCTTTACCCCCATCCGCACCTTCCCGACACCACTCCAACCACACTCTGGCTCGGGAAAACGCCCACTGCTCGCTCTCTTCGCGTTTGGGGATGCACCGCCTATGTCCTCCTCAACCCTCAGGCTCGACGCCAGAACGGTGGCAAGCTCGGTCCCAAGACTCAAACGTGCATCTACCTTGGGCACAACGCCGACTCACCTGACTACCTCTTCCTCAATCCCTCCACTCAACAGTTGGTCAGGAGCCGCGACGTTGTCTTTGATGAGACCCGCCCATTCTACTCCCCTTCGGGACGGGACCCTCTCCCTGATCCACCCTCCCTCGTGTGGGCAGACTTTGACGCGCCTCCCGACCTCCCGCCTGCTCCTGCCCCCTCACCTCCTCCCTCTCCTGCCATCCCACCATCTCCCTCTGAGGTCTCTGACCCGGCCTCACCGGTGTCTTCGGCGGCTGCTCCGCCCCCCCCCTCACCTTCCTCACTTCCCGCTGCGCCGCCCCCTCCGAGCGCACCTATCACCTACCATCGGCGGTCCCACCCTCCGGCCCCACCTCCTCCCCCAGTTCCCCCCACCACAGAGGAACCCGCTCTCCCACAGTCGCCCGAGCTGATCACGTACCGCCGGCGGCCCATTCCCCCACCCAAGCCTCCTAAGCCACCCTCTCCGACACCGCCTGCCCCGCCCTCCTCACCGGTGGCTCATGGCACCCGCTCCCATCGCGCTGCTCTTCCACTCGCAATGGTTCTTCGATACACAATGATCACACCGCCTCCTCCTGCTGGGGGGGATGTGCCCTCTACCCTTCTAGAAGACAGGCATGAGGAGCTGTGTGATCTCCATGCAGTCATTCCTCAGCTCTCACACATCTTCCCCGATATCACTGGCTCACCCTCCCTCAACCTCGCGGAGAACCCGACCATCCCTATCCCTCTCACCGTCCAAGAGGCTCTCTCAGGCCCTCATGCTGCCGAATGGCGTGCTGCCATGGACGCGGAGATTGCAGCATTCACTCGCAACCACTCTTTCGATGACGAGACTCCACCTCCAGGAGTCAACATCGTCGGGGGCAAGTGGTTGTTCCGTGTAAAACAGCTCCCAGACGAGGCACCGGTGTTCAAAGCGCGTTACGTAGCCAAGGGCTTCACCCAGCAGCGGTACCGCGACTTCGACCTAATCTTCTCCCCCACATCCAAACCTCCCACCATTCGAACGCTCATGGATGTTGCAGCTCGAGAAGACTTTGAGATCAAATCCATGGATGCCTCCTCCGCTTTCCTACAAGGACGTCTCAAGGAGACAGTGTTCATGGACAGACCAGAAGGCTTCCCAGGAGAATTCCCTCCCAACACAGTCTGGAAGCTGAATCGCCCCGTCTACGGCCTTAAACAAGCCCCTCGCGAATGGCACAACAAGGTGAAAGAAGTCCTCCTCTCCCTGGACTTCCACCCCTCAACTGCTGACCCGACTCTCTTCATCCGTCGTCATTCTGAGCCATTCTACATCCTAGTCTACGTGGATGATTTTATCCTCGTTGCCAAGGACTCGGCCCAAATGACCTCTGTCCAGGCAGCCCTGAGCAAGGCCCTCCAGATGAAAGACCTTGGTGACCTCAAGCACTACCTGGGAATGGAGATCACTCGTGATCGCAAGGCTCGCACCATCTCACTCTCCCAGGAGTTCTACATCGACAATGTGCTCAAGCGGTTTGAGATGGAGCTGTGCACACCTGTTGCCACCCCGCTGCCGCTGCAACACCTCCTTACAGCTCCTGCTGTACCCACACCAGAGGCCTGCTCTGAGCCATACCCGGAACTTGTTGGGTCCCTCATGTACGCCATGATGTGCACCCGACCGGACTTGGCCTACCCAGTCAGTGTTCTCTCTCGTTACGTGGCCCCGGGTCGCTTCACTAATCTTCATTGGAAGGCAGCAAAGCGGGTGCTGCGCTATCTTAAGGGCACAAAGTCCCACGTTCTCACACTCGGTGGGCTCTCCCCTCCTCGCCTGGAAGGTTACACAGACTCCTCCTGGGCTGATGACCAGACCGACCGGCGCTCCTCTCAGGGGTACTGCTTCACCCTCGGGAGCGGAACTGTCAGTTGGCGCTCCACCAGGTCGTCTGCAGTCTCCCTCTCCTCCTGTGAGGCGGAGCTCTACGCAGGCACCATGGCTGCTCAGGAGGCCCGTTGGTTCACCTTCCTACTCCAAGAGCTTGGCTTCCCTCAGTCAGCCCCCACCCTCTGGTGTGACAACCAGAGTACCATCCACATCTCTCAAGACCCTGTGTATCACACCCGCACCAAGCATATTGAACTTCGGCACTTCTTCATTCGTCACCTTGTGCAACAAGAGCAGCTGAAGGTGGAATACGTGGCATCTGACTGCAACCTGGCTGACCTGTTCACCAAGCCCCTTGGGAAGGTTCCCCACCATCGTCTCCTTGGCGCCATGGGGCTCTGCGCTCCTCCTTCTCCGCCATGAGTTCGATTGACGCCTCAGGGGGGGTGTTGGTGTTAGGCCCCAATCTCACATTTTGTACTTGTACTTTTATATCCTAGTTTAGTGTAGTTTGCAC